TAAAAACAAAGCCTATTCAACTGACTTCAACAATCCGTTATCTAGATTGACAATGCAATTTCAACCTCAGGCCTGCGTGCAAATAAAAACAGCCTGAGTATATCCAAAGAGGATTCAGAGGTGGTTAGTATGATCTATTCACAAGGCCGCCACCTTAAAGCAAACAGCATTCAATTAATAAACGCTGCCTTCCAAAGGTACAAAACGGGCTCAGTGCTGGATTATAAATGCCAGGGTTCAAGATTTTCCACAATAGGTGGACTTCAGACCTGGGCACAAAGTCAAACACTACATAGTTTGTGTTTTAATTGGCTGCCTCCATATCTCAGTATCATCCAAGAAACCTGCCAAATAAAGATCATCGCTGGCTGTAAATCTGAAAGTGAAGCATGCACAGCAAAAAGCCCCCCCATACACATGCAATGCACTGCACACGTAACTCTTCCCAGGTCTAAAAAAAACAGGCTTATGTCAACTCAAAAAGCAGATATAAAAATGATGGATTACTTTTGGTTCCACATGAATAAATAATTTGTCTCTGCAGATGTTAGGCCTGTGTCCCTTATGTGCGCATGTAAGGTACAGGTGTTAAACACTGTCCAGAGTGAGTAACCTGCCAGTGGAAAGGGAAACGGGGCTGCTGTGTGGGGTGTGTGTGCAGCCAGCTGCTGCTGCCGCTGCTGCTGCTTGAAGGCGGGCTTCACCTCGTCCCTCCTCACCGAGATTCCCACGACCTCCCTGCCCCCGCGCATGGCTGAGGACATTGTCAGTGCCCCAGAAGGCTTGTCTGCAGCTATAAATCTGGATAAATAATAACGCTCCGTGCAAAAGTGCTGTGCATTCAGCCTGCAAGACCTCCAATGTCCCACACTGTCTCTTCTCTTCAGCAGACAGGGTTGTCACCAAGCCTCCTTGTGCATCCCCCCTGACTGCTAAAAGGCCAGACTACAACTGCCCCGTTTTTTCAGCTGCAGTCTATATTTGCAGCCATAACTCGGGTATCCTGGTTCATAGCATGTTGGAGCACTAAAGTAAAAAAATAAATGAACCTACCAGCGCCAGACGGTCCCGGCTCCATCCCATTCACTTAGCAGCGCGGGCACAAGCTAACTAGTCCGGGGTGCTGTGGCCGAACCGCCGGCCCCTTCAGGCTGGAAGCGTCTCAGACCTCCAGCCCCCTCCTCTCGGCGTGCAGTCTTCTCCTTTCCTCGGTGTACCCCCGCCCCCTGCCCCTACCGAGAGCCCCCCAAAACCCGCAGAGGAGTTAAGGGCTAACGGCGGATAGCTGCCAGTCTGCCCGCTGACCCTGGAGGCAGTAACGGAGGAGCTGGAGGCAGAAACCGCCTTGTTTTCTAACCGCGCTTCCTTCGCGGGGCTGTGTGGTCCCTCCCGGGCGCCGTGATTCCGCCGATTGTCCGCGGCGCTGTGATTTCTCGTCGGTCTGTGGTGCTCCTGCTCACCGTTCAAGCAGGATTCTCCAGCGGAACAAAAAAAAGGCCAGCCCCTCACCCCCCAAAAACCCAAACTTCTTCTTTGTCATTAAAAAAAAGTGCGAGGGAACTGTTGATGAACTTGCTGTCACACCCCAGAGGGCGAAGGAGGTACTGCACTGCAGATATGCACATGTGTGCGAGTGTGCGAGGGAAAGATTCACTGTTAGGACCTGTTTTATTGTCCAGATTTTATATAAAGAAACAGGATATTATGAAAGTAATAAGTATATAAATATATAATCATACAATTGTGAAACAATTCGGAATATTTTAAAACGTATAACATAAAAAGTTAGGATGATTATGAATATTTAGTTTAATTTTGCTTATTTTCACTGTGAGTTTATGTTGCAGTTCTCTTCCCTCTCTTTAAAAAAAGTTTAAATCCAGGCATAAAACTTAAAATCAAAATTTTGTAGCTAGTTGTTGTTTTATTTATTTTATTGATTATATTTTAAGTCTTTTGTTTTCTCACTAGCGCAAATTTATGATTTTTTGTCTGTTTTGTTACTTTTTCCAAATAAATAAACAAAACTTTTGTTTTTAGACCTAAGCACAGTGCCTTTGACGTCCATAGGTGGTAATCTGATTATCTTCTCTGTTTGCATTGTCAGCTAATCCTCATCCTTTTTCACCTCTTCCCCAAAGCTCTGCTGGTCCCATCCTTTTCTCCATCTATATGCTATACTGTAAGATCACATTATCCAAAAACCACAACCTCTCTTTCTGTTGTTATGCTAATGACACTCGTTATTGATGTGATTATTCTACCACTAGAACTTAATCACAACAAACTAATAAACCTCAATAACTGTCTCCACTACATCAAATCCTGGATAACTGGTTCTAGTTTAACAACAATAAATCTGAAGTTAAGCATTTTACTAATCTCCCTTCTTACGTCTCGCAAGGGCGTCGTGTTCACTTGAAAAAATGATGTTATAGGAAAAAGAATTTACTTTATTTTACTTGATTAACTGATTAGTTGTTTGGTCTAGGAAACTGATAAATGTCCATCACAGTTGCATAAAGCCCAAGTTGAAAACAATATTTGTCTGGTCCATAGTA